CACCTTTTCCCGGGAGCTTTGCCAAAGATAAATATGTATATAAAATTCGTAGACAAGTGAATTCTATGGCAGATGTTATATAAGGATTTTACAATAAATAAAAGGATAAATTAAAATGGTTAAACCTAATAGGAAAACCTAAGACACAGAATCAGTACTCGAATTTCTCGACTCCTTCCCTCTCATCGAGCCCCTCTTTTCCCTCACGAGCTCTTGCTCTTCCCTCTCATCAAGCCATTTTTATCCAACCTTTCTTCTCTAGCCACCATTGAAACCCTAACATCTGCTGCAAACGCCTCTTTCGTGTTACCCTCTCCTCGAACCCTACCTCCACCTTTCTTCTTTGCTGTCCCTTAAATCCCTAAATCTTTGCGCTAATTCACTAACAATTTTCGTGCTCCTTTGTACCCTTGAACCATAAGAATAAGGGACTAAGAAAATGAGTCGCACCTGCTTCTTCCTTCTTCCTTCTCCATGACAAGAAAGATTGTTGATTCATTCGGAACCCTTGCCCCGCGCTCCATACGAGGCGAAAACCCTAGGGAGGTCCACCACTTGTGATTCAACCGCTCGCGGCTCGATAGCTCATGCTCCAGAGGAGGTAAAAACCCTAGCCAAAGTTATGAGGGTTAGAACAACTCTTGCTCTATCGTCCAATGCAGGCAATGTCGTGTTGGAGGATAAAGAGGATTGGAGAGGACACGATGGTTTTGTGCCTCTTCGGGCATAAATGGAAAGTTTCACCAAAACTAGGTATACATAACTTCACTTATTTTCCCTTTCAAAAAAAGTTCCAAATTTCAATAGTGAAGTCTGAAGGTTTATTCTTGGTCCTTATTCTTTCATGGTATTCTAGAACGAGTTTCATCTAAGAAAATTTTGGGTTCCCTGCTCGGTTCCAAGTGCGGCTACTTCAAGGGTGTTTATTGACCCTTCTTATCAAATGATAGTATTTGGATATATCTTAAGACTGTTTGACCAATTTGGTTGAATTAAAAGTCTAAGTGAAGCAAACCTTTTACTATTGAATTACCCATGGACAGTTATCACATACAGGAAGATATCAATGTTTCATTTGCATCGTAAATAGTAAAAGGTTACTAATTATTTGATCATACGAAATCATGGCAGAAAGAACCGTAGGGATGCTATTTTGATCTATCTGTGTACTCTATTCCGAGAGTTAATGGTGATTACTAGTTAATACCCTCAATAACTACCATGGTCTAACATTTTGGTCAAATTTTCATACTGGATTGAACTTCATTAAAACCTTTCTTTGTCAATTGCAGGTTGGAAAAAGATTTAACAAAAGATGATAAAGCTTCAAACATAATTGTTCTGGTTGTGATTACAAGTTGCTAAATTAGTATTGAACTTTTGAGTTTTTGTTGTGATATGGTTACCATGTGTTTCTTTGAAGGGATTATGTAAGGTTTGTTGTTTTGTTGCAGGGGAAGAAAAAGGAAGGAAATGCTGCTAACTTTGTCATTTGTATTTAAGCATGGCCATTTCTAGTGTGTCCATTTATTTATATTCTTGCCTTCTCGTTTTAAGTTGAAGTCCAAAGTGTTATTAATACAGAGGTATATGATACCATTATACCATTCTTTTGTAATAGGTTTGGTTTCTGGAAAGTTTTCTTGGCTTCTGCTCAAGAGCAATGATCTATTGCTCTGGAGGAAACCAATAAAAGGTTGTGATTTCCAAATTTTAGGATTTCATTTGGTGTTTATTTAACTTGTTAGTTAGTGTTTGATTCTTATTTGAGCATAAGATGGATTGCCACGTAATATGAATTATTTAGCAGGACTCTCCCATGCCACACCCTACACAACAGTATCTGAGATTGAGGTTCCTCAGTGCTCCTGCCGTTCTTCTCTCCTTGGCAATGCAAGGAGTGTTTCGAGGATTTAAAGACACGAAAGCACCTTTATATGCCACTGGTATACTGGAAAACTCAAATTATCATTGATTAAGTGTCACAAATTATAATTTCCTTCTATTACCTGATTCTAATTACTCTTTTCCTTAATGTGTGATGTTGTTTTCTTTTTATTTCTTAGGTAATCAAATTTTACAGAGATTTGTTTGTACCATTTGGTTGAATGATGCCAAAATTTATCTAGAAAATTCTGAAAAATCATAATTAAAACATAGTAAAATGAATTAGATAGGATGTAAGTGTTTAGCTACATTAAAAGAGAAGCTCAAGGTACCCAAGCAACAACTTACTGCAATAATCAGGCACCACCCTTAAGTATTAGTGGAAAAAAGTTCCTAATATTGTTTGTATAATTTTAGTGCAACATTTAACCAATAAAATTAATAAAAAAATTACTTATGTTTTTATTTTACTTTTAATATTATTTTATATAACGCAAAATGTTTCATTTTTATTCTTAAACAAATCAATAGAAAAATTAGATGAAAGAAACTCAAATATATAAAGTGTGAATAGAGTGAATTAAATACTCAATTTTATAAAATACTTAAAGATTTAATTAAATGTAAACATAAGATATTTCTTTCATTCACAATTAGATTGAAAGTTCAAGTTACATTTTTTTCCTATAATACCAAGGGGTTTCAAGGTTTGAGATGCAGTATGAATTCCCAGTGGAAACGTTAAGTGAGTTTCAAAGTTTGAGATGAAGTATTTGATTCCATGGAAACATTAAGGTAAACAGTGTGGTTGTGGGGATTTGAAGATGAATAATGACGTATCTTTTGTTTCTTTTATATATATATAATACAATACATATTTTAAATAGTAGCTCGGGGCATTAGAATTTCCTGTACTATTAAATGATTAATATCGAATTGTAGTGCTTATAAATTTATTATGAGGGAGAAAAATTGAAAGAAAGAAATAAGAGCAAAATTAATAGTTAACTTCAATGACAATATTGGTCTAGTTATTTGGAATGCAGGTGAGAATGAAGATTTTGATGGTTTTGATGAGGAGGAAGAAAGTGATTGGGAAGATGATGAAGACCTGAGTTTCAAAATTCATAAGAGATGAGTATTCTTGAAGACCGGTTGACATATTTGTATTGAAGTTCTTGGATAAATTTTTTCGTTACATGTGGCTTAAATGTATTAGCTTGATACTGATCATGTTCATAAATATGCATTTGTAACATCCTTAATTTTAGGAAAGCATGATAATGATGAGTTATGCAATTGGGATGCTATGCCTTAGCTATGATTCTTTCATCGTCAATATTAAAAGTAGTTGACCAAATGCTGTTGTAATTCTCAAGTTTTCTTTACGGTTGACACATTTTTTATCCATTTATATAATTGACAATTATATTCATGTAAATAATATTTTTATATTAATGTAAAATGTTTGTTTGTGGTTTATTTCATTTTGTCCAAATCTCTCACTGGTATAAGTAATTAATGTTTGGTATAAGCAATTAATGATTGGTATAAGCAATTAATGATTGATATAAGCAATTAATGATTGATATACTGTTAGGTTGATTACATACGGATTTTTCTGTATGTAATTTATATACGGATTTTTATATACGGATTTTCCGTATATAATTTATATACGGATTTTTTCGTATATAATTTATATACGGATTTTTCCGTATATAATTTATATACGGATTTTTCCGTATGTAATTTATATACGGATTTTTCCGTATGTAATTTATATACGGATATATCCGTATGTAATTTATATACGGATATATCCGTATATAATTTACCTACGCTCCTTTTATATATGGATTTTTGTCCGTATGTAATCCGTATATAACACTAATTTATATACGAATTTTGGAGGTTATATACGGATTTTGACCGTATGTAACTGCGATTTTTCTTGTAGTGTATATGTGTCTGTACATGTCTAAAATGGTTGACACACGTTCTTGACAGCGCTAAAAATTATGACCAGAGAAGGCCTCGACTTTTGATACATCTGGAAAAGGTTTCGCGAAGACCGTCTAAGTTCCAAAAATAATATTCTAATTCTCCGGGATTGAGTTGTTGATGTCAGTTATAAGTCCTTAAGATTGTTATAGAAAAACTAGCAAAATCACGAACAAAATTTTCCGAGACTTGTAGATCATTATCTTTAAAGACTTATCCATGGTGTATACAAGTCCCCAAAATATAATAGAAACTTTTAAAAAAAAAAATCAAAGATATCGAAACTAACAAGAACTTAAAAAGAGTAAAGTAAAATACCCATAATATAATAAGAAAGAAATTAAAAAAGAAAAAGAAAGAGAAAAGTATAGAATGAGAGAACAAAGATTGTGTGTATTTTGGAAGAGTGAACGAGGATCTATTTTAGATCCTAAAAAGGCCTTAAAATGTGGAGAAAATGTGAAACTTGGGACACAAGTTGGTAAGTTGGTAATTGGTAGTATCGTGAGTTGGCTAACAACGTTCACAAAATTACACAATTAACTATAAGAAAATGTTTTTTTAACAATTTTTTTTGACAATTTTACCATGTCTATGAGTAGCTTGTAGCTTGTGATTAGGACGTTTCAAATATACAAACCAATAAAATAATGTATATTATAAAAAAATGATTAAAAAAATTGTTAACATATCATCTTCCTTGACTACGTAAACTTTTGGTCACAAACAAATAACAAATCATCGAGAATCTTGGCAGAACATATGCACGGTTTTATAACTATAGTGACGTGAAGCTTAATTACCAAAGGTCAAAAGATGATTCTCCACACCAAAACATGGGAAAGAAAACATAGAAAGAGACAAGGAACTTAATATATACTAAAATAATCAAACACTGATGGCGAGCAACTTTTCGAATACTGATCAAACGTAAACCCCCTCAAAAACACAATAAGAAACAACTAATAACATCACTCTAGATTATTTTCCCTTGGCGAAAACATTCTCTGCTATTTGGTTAATCAGCGCGAGAACAAACAGAGATGATCAAAGTGAAAGCAAGAAGAAAAAAAGCTTAAAGCCCGAAAGCCTTTTAAGCTAAAGATGATTTAATTGGTTTGTGGTGGAATTTCATGCCCTACACCAGGGCTATGACCGGGACTGGTGGGGCGGTAGGCATCACTACCACCTCCAATGGTATCACTGTTTGGTTTATTCCAAAAAACTGAAGGAGCTTGTGGACTCCGAGGTATTGTTGGTGTTATCTGAATGTTGTTCCTTGACGCTTCAATTGAGTCAAAGTTGTGTTGCAGAATAAGGAAGACAAGAAAGGTTAACATGATGGTTTTTGGTGCCATGAAAAGAAACTGAGTAAAACACAAGACAAGGTTACAAAGCTCAAACCTTACTAACTATAGCGTTATATATTGCTTCAAGAGCAAATTACTGAATGATCTGGATGAGCGAGATGAGAGTGGTATTTAACAAGACTTCCTACTCCTATAGGGCTTGCAACTTGAAGCATTAACTATGGTTTTATGCACATGAAGATGTCCTGTAAATACTATTGGAAATGCAGGAACATATACAGAAGAGTAAGCATTAATGGGAATATATCCAAAAGAAGTTAGTTCAGCATTACCTGGATCCTGATATCCCAAAATAGCTAATTTCTGCAACATGATAGAAATGTTAATTAACAAAATGGTTCTTCCACTAAGTAAAGTATGGATTACCTGATACATACATCTTCTATCTCATCCCCCGGTTTTCTTCGTTTTCATTCTCTAACTTGAGCACGAGATGGAAATTGGTAGAGTGTTGCGAATTAAATATTGCTCTCAATTTGCTTGAAGTGCAGGCTAGGTCACTCCATTTTGGTTCTTGTTCAGAATGATAAAGTAAATAAGCAGAAGATCAGATATTGGAACAAGAGTAATGATTAATATTGCGAGTAGGTCGAGCACTCCAAAATGTAATTAAATTATATGTAAATATGACGAATTTCACCTTATATTAAAAATGAATATACGACAGTATATAACTTTTAATGTAATTTACAATAATTATTTGTTAAATAAATTAAATATTTGAATCATAACTGAATGAATTATTGTGATTCAAATCGATAAAAGCAGCTTCCTCTATTACATATTATAATCACGTCAAAAAAATAAATATCTAGATATAAAATTAGATAATAAGAACTTAGGATAAATTTTATTAATGGAAAAATAAAAAAAAATTGCCAACAAAATAACAATTATTGATAAGTTTTACTAACAAAAAACAATTCACGAATTTATTGATAAATTTTATCACAAATTTAAGATTTTAATTATCGACAGATTTACATTTTAATTATCAATAGGTTTAGGATTTTAAATATTGATATTTTTATTGGTAATAAATTCGTCAATATGTAAGTAAACTTTAGTAAAAGTATAGAAATTTTATTATCTGTAAGTAAATTTAGTTGATACCTATTTGTAAATGAGCTTTAAAATTTCTAATTTAATATTAATCATGTCATTGTAAAATTTGTCAGTAAATTTATTAGTAGTTGAATTATTTGAAAATTTGTTGGAAAACTTTTCACTAGATAAATTTGTGAAATTTCGTTGAAAATTTTGTTGGAAATTCGTCGATAAAAATGAATCTTAAATTTTTAGTCAAATATGATTAAATATGATTTATAAATTAAATGAATATGAGTAAGAAGAAGAGAAGGAGAAAGGGAAGAAATAAAAAAGAAGAAGAAAGAAAAGGATAAAAAGGATAAGGAGGGAGAATCATAGGATGTGCATGTAGCAACCACGTGACAATAATGATGACAAAAGGTGACAAATGAACAAGATAAGGATAAAAATAATATAAAAAAAAGAAAATAAAAAAAAGAGGAGGAATAAAAAAAATATCAAATCACAATATTTGTAAATGAATTTTATTAGTGAAAAAAAAATTCTCCAAACTCAACCATAATTATTAATAAATATTTATTGATAATTAGTTACAAATGAATTTAGATCACCCGTGATTACCAACCAATAATTACTAATATGTCATAGTTAATTATCAATAAATTTTTTATTTATCAAAAAACTTTACTAACTAGTATTTTATTAATAAATTGTTTGTTATTAATAAATCATCAATTTTCTTTCATTGACAAATTTTATCCATTAGTAAATATTATCTTTCTTAATGAAAATAATACATTAAAAGAATTAAAACACATAAATAAAATCCAAAACCATAAAAATAAATTTTTTTCAAGGATTGAAAGTAAAATAAAATAATAAAATCCAATTATACAATTCAATTAATATGAGAGTGAAAATAAATTATATTGACTTGGGAGTTTGACTTTCAAAGAATTTTGTTGAGTTGTGAATGAAATATTTATATAACTTCTTATTTGAAAGAGTGTATTGAATAGATAAATTTTTTAATAATATATATTAAATAAATTTAATTAAATAAATTTAATAATATACATTAAATTAATATGTTCATAAATTTATTTATATTTTTTAGGAGTTTATTTTACATATTTTTTATATTCTTATAAAATCTATTATTGTATATATTTTATCTTTTATATTTTACAATATATTAATTTTTAAAACCTATAAATAGTTTTTATATTACTTCTATTTAAAATTTAATTATAAATTTAAATATATTTATTATTTATTTCTTCAATTTTTAAATATATTCTATCAACATCAACTCATCCATAGATAGTGTTTAAAACTAGTAAAAATAATAAAAGTAATGTACACTGAAGTTATTAATAAACATAACATGACTGCTTTAACAAATTTCTAATACCCTTATGGTAACACATTCCAATCAATTTGGGCCATTACATAACAGAGGCCCATTTCTATGCACGTGCATGTATCGATTGGCATCACACTTCACTCTGCTCACCAAAGTCTGCAGCTTCTCTGTTACACGATTACACAACACAAACTCAACTTTCTTCCTTACTCGCGAGTCACTGAACACTGCACTCAACCAATCCAAAACACTCTCCAAACAAAACCCCACACCATTCCCTTCTTCACAACGAATCTCCAATTCCCATTTTTCTATCCACTCCTTCCAATTTCCTTCGTCAACCCAAGCCACTGCTTCCACCGTTTCAACGCAAAATTCAAGCATTCTTGAAGAGCCCTTCCGATGCGCCTCACCGGACCCATTGATCCATGAATCGTAAAATGGAGGC